CCTGAAGATAAGATTTATCTGGCATCAGTCGCAATTATCTGGTTAATCTTTGTTTCTTAGTAATGTACATTTGGTGGGTCTGATACAGAGCCTGGAATCTGCCTTTTTAAAGGTCATTTTTATCCTTAGGCAGATTTGGAAAGTCATGGTCTAAATACACTGTCCCTAAAAAAATAGAACTACCCTATATCCTAGCTAGACCACTCTTGGATATAGAAAATGAACATATGCACAATGGAGTTTAATTGAACAATAAAGGAAAAAATAGAATTACAACTGTGGAAAAACAGATGAAATTGGAGATGATTATATTTAGTGAAATAAGCCAGTCTCAGAAAGATAAATACTGTGTGTGTGTGTGTGTGTGTGAGAGAGAGAGAGAGAGAGAGAGAGAGAGAGAGAGAGAGAGAGAGAGGAGAGATGAGAGAGATGGGGGACAGAGAGGCTCAGGAGTGTGTGTTATGAAATTAGAAAATGGATCATGATCATGAGAGGAGAAGAAGAGATCTCGGGGAATGGGGAAACAGTAAATGGAATAGTTGACATGAAAGCAGTATAGGAGAGGACAAAGCTCATGAGGACAAAGGGAACTAGCCACAGGAGGAGAGAGCAGGGGGGGGGGGTAAATTAGAACAAAGAATGATAGATATGGAGGAAAATGCCTACATTTTACTTTGTATGCTTGCTTACCTAAAAAGCAAAACATATATATTAAATAAATGTACCATCTCCAAGAATTTGCGATAAAACACTTTGATTCCTAAGCACGTACGGCTGAGTTGTAGAACATTAAGTATTTTAGCAACAGAGCTAGAGAGACGGTTGAGTGCTTAGGAGCACCTGCTGCTCTTGCAGAGAGCCTGGGTTCAATTCCCAGCGACCACATACTGCCTTACAACCACCTGCAGCTCCAGGTCCAGGGGATGCGGCACTCTCTTCGAGCCTTTGCGGTATGCACACAGATCACACACACACACATATATGTACACACACACATGAATAAATATTTTAAAATTTTAAATTAAAGAATTTAAATAAAAAAACAGACCTTATGTTTGAAAAGTATAATACAGTTAATGGAATCATATACACTATACATGTTACCATATTAGAACCCCCTAAGAGCCTGTAAATCATGTAGGCTAAGGATCTGTGTCTATATTTTGGGGTTAAGGAAACGTTCTTGTTAATAGAACATGGTCTTCAAAGCAAAACATCTGTAATCTTCCTCAGATCAACTGAACCATTGCAAGAAACCATCACAATCAGGTTTGTAGACTGGTGAAGTTCCTTCAAAAAAAAAAAAAAAAAAAACAGGCCAGGGTGGGTCAATAAATCCTTACCTGAAGGTCCAGCCATTCTGCCTAGCCATTTATATGTATGTAATTCTGCCTTAATTATCATGGCCTCAGTGTGTGAAGACTTTTTGGAGTGTCTGCTTTGGGGTCATTACACTCATAGGCAACCCCTCACTTAAGTTTTATAAGTAAAATCTTGATACTATAAGTAAATTCCTTGATACTCCAGGTTGAACTTCAGTGGAATCGTACTTTGGTTTGTTATTGGAGGTAGGCTTTGCTTTTCATCTCTCCAGGTAAGGACTTTTCTGAACATCAGCCATAATGTAGTCTATAATACAATTAGAAAGCCAACACACCTTAAATGATGGAAGAACTAACTCAAAGGCACCCACTGTTAGATCACAGGAGGGGATCAGCCATGCCTTACATTCTATCCAATATATTCTCTAAACTGGTAAGCATGTGGTATCCTCAAAGTAGGGAGGACCAATAAGATCAGCTTCCTAAATTGAGGTGTGATATCCTATCTAGTATCTTCCTGTGATGGCTATACCTGATTGTCAACTTGAACTACATTTGGAATGAACTACAATCCAGAAATGAAGGCCTCACCTGTGATCCAGATCATAAGGCATAGCGGCCATGAAAAGCTTAGGCCCAGGCAAGGTAATACACACCTTTACTCCCGGGAGGCAGGCAAGCAGATCTCTGAGTTCAAGGCCAGCCTAGGGCAAAGCAAGTTCTAAATACAGGTGTGGAGGTACACATCCTTAATCTGGACCATGCCCTCTGCTGGAGGCCTACATAAGAATAATGGGGGAAAAAAAGAAGTGTTTGTGCTTCTTCGTTTTGCTTGCACTTACTTGTCAGCACAAACTACTTCTTCAGGATTCCAGTTTATACAGAAGACCAGCTGAAACACCTAGCCTCTTGGGACTGAGAAACTACTAGATTCTTGGACTTCCCATTCACAGCTGCCCATTGTTGGGTTAATTGGACTACAGACTACAGATCATTTCAATAATTTCCCTTAATATATAGAGGCATTCCATAAATTCTGTGACTCTAGAGAACCCCAACTAATATACTTTCTTAATCTGCTACAGTTAGAGATCCCTACTGTCTAAGCTCAGAGACCACTTACCTTCTTTTTTTTGTTTGTTTTTGTTTGTTTGTTTGTTTGAGACACGGTTTCTCTGTATAGCCCTGGCTGTCCTGAAACTCACTCTGTAGACCAGGCTGGCCTCAAACTCATAAATCCACCTGCCTCTGCCTCCCTATTGCTGGGATCAAAGGCGTGCGCCACCACTGTCCAGTGACCACTTACCTTCTAACATTTACAAATGCAAGGTTTTTCCTTTGTTCTGTGGGTGGCTGCAGGATTGTCACCATATTCCAGCTTCCCCTCAGCACACCTCTCTTTTGAATCCAGAAAGAATCCTCATTATTTTAATTCCCACTTTTGCAGAAGACTTTATACCACAGACAATACACAAAGTTTGAAACGATAAGGAGCCTGAACCAATAGGAATCAAAAAGCCCCCAAAAGAAAAGTAGTACATCTGTTTCGAAACTCAGTCAATGTCTGTAGCACCATCTTCTTTTCTACACTGGAGTCTCTTGTGAGCTCTATCAATTATGTCTTCCATAACCACATGTTTTACCGCAAACCAGTCCGACCTGCAGGAGTACAAGCTTTGGTCCTTTTGCAATGTTCGGCTGCCTAACCAGTTTGTTTGCAAAAACAACACTTGGTCAGGTCAAGATAGGGAGATGTCCTAGTGAAGAAAGGGTGACTGTCATATGAAGCCTTGCTTGGTGTCCTTTCTGGGCCTACTAAGGATTTCCGATGCAATAGAGGCAAAGTATCACATTTAATTAAATTGTATACAAATCTGTTGTAGAAGGAGCATTATGCTGGCAGCTATGGCCTGTTCTGAGGGCCTGTTCTGGTTATCTATGTCAGGAAGAATTACAAAACAGAATTAGCAGTGTTCTTTGCTGACAGAGTAGGAATCAATGGTTTTTATGGAAGCATCCTGTGAACTTGGTGATACATGCCTGTAATCTCAGCATGATAGAGACAGGATCACTGCAAGTTAGAACCACCTTGGCCTACATAAGGAGTGTCAGACCAGCTAGTGCAGTAGTCAGCCCATGTATCAGACAAACAGATAAGACTCGACAGTCTTATGGAAGATTCTGAAAGGCTAGTTGGGAAAGTGACATTTCCCCTGGATCCTGAAAGATAGGTGTTCAAACGACAGATAAGAGCATTGCTCAGAGTCTGTGAGTAAAGGTATCAAGCCTAGGGCCTCAGTGATATCTACTGTTAGGGACCCACTGATTAGGTAGAGCAACCAGGAAGAAGTTTTGGGGTCTTATAGTTGTGGAGAGGGGACCCTTGCACCCTATTCTTCCTTTTCAAACATAATTAAGTTTGAAGTTTGAAGTGTTTTTCATTTCATTTGTTTTTCTTTTTTGAGACAGGCTCTCTCTATGTAGTCCTGGCTATCTTGTATCCAGCACACTGGCTCCTGCTAGGCAGACTAGGCTGCTTTGATATGCAGTCCTTGGGATCTTCAGGACTTTAACCCTTTAGTGCTTGACTTACAACAGTTATCCATCATTCCTACTTGAAAAGTCATTTCTGTCTCATTTGATGTTTGGTTGGTGTTGAGATGAGGTGTCACATGTAACCAGGCTGGTGTCAGTCTCAGAGATCCACTGCTTCTTCCAATGCTAGGATTAAAGCCCTGTAGCAGCATACCTGCCTGAAAGACTGACTCTAAGAGACCACAGACAGATGTTACTGAGAATAGAGACTTCCCCCTTTTAAAAGTCAATTGTCCTCAGGCAGTGGTGGCACATGCCTTTAATCCTGGCACTTGGGAGGCAGAGGCAGGCGGATTTATGAGTTCAAGGCCAGCCTGATCTACAGAGTGAGTTCCAGGACAGTCAGAGCTACACAGAAACCCTGTCTCGAAAAACAAAAAACAAACCAAAAAAGTCAATTGTCACTATGTAACCCAAATTCATCTTTACTCAGGATCCTCCTGCCTCAGCTGTTGAATCCTGGGATTATAGTCTTGTTCCACAATGCCAGGCTTGAAAGGTTTTAAGTGGAACAGCAGGGCAGCTATGTAGCTTAGACTGATCCAACTGGGTTGCTGTCTGGGCAATAGTTTAGACAAAGTAACAGTAGAAAGAATGAATCCAAATAGAAAGCTACTGTAGCAGTATGAACAAATCCTAAACAGTCTGTTTTGTGGATGATAAAGTGGAGAAAGAGGGCTGCTCCTCCAGACCTGTCTCAGAGGAAGAATCACTAGCCTTGGGTATTCATTGAATACATTCTGAGTTGGGGAGAGGAGTGAATGAGGCAGACGTCAAAGGTCACTACCAAATGAGTGCAAAGAGATCGCACTCAGAGAAAGCCTCTAATCTTGTGGGGGTGGGGGAGTGGGGCGGAGGAAAAGGAGGGGCGGCCACAGGACAAAGGAAGTAGTTTGAAGCAGTGAGAAGGAAGAAACCCCAGAAGCCAGGTGGCAACACAGAAGCCCCGCCCCCGGTTAGACCCCACCCCCAGGCCCGCCTTTCCTCCCTCTTCTCACCCACCCCCCAGTTGCGACTCATCCTCCTGGGCGGGGAGAAGTGGCAGTCGAGTCCTCCCATATCCCAGCAGGCAGTGCAGTCTGGAGACTCTGACAAAGGAGCAGGGAGCAGTCGCAGCTGCTTTCCGAGGAGCCAGTGTTACTGAGGTGAGAGTCCCTCAATGTCCCGTCACCCACTTCCTCTGACTTGAGAGGAAAACGTGGAACTTACATGGCTGAGACCCCCCCCCCCCCACCCCCCCCCCTGTGTAGACAATGCCCAGTACTCATAGCCAGAGCTTGGCTCTGTGACTGACAGCGGGGCAGTTCAGTGCCGGGCTTAGGTGGGTGGCGGGGACCGGACAGCGAGTCCACCGTTCTCGGACTGTTGGTGACCCTTCTGCAGGGTCTTCAGGGCCAGCAGAGGTGTGTAACTGCCCCTGCCTGGGCGAAGGCAGCCTCCAAAGCCTCCCGCTGCCTTTCTGACAGAGTTCAGTTGCCTTGGGGATGCAGCTCCTGGGACAACTCTTTGGCGGACATTGCCTGGAGGGCTGTGGGAGGGAAGTCAGTCGACTACCCGGTTCGGGGTGACCCTGTCCTCGCCCTTCCTGCAGTTCAGCCGGTCCCCTCTACGAGCAACTAGACGGAAACGGGGCGGGGGGCGGCTAGAGCCAGGTGTCCCAGGATGGCTTTGCCTGAAGGGGCACGAAGGAAAGTGGAGAAACTAGGAGGGAGGGTGGTGGTCGAAGCAAGTATCTTCTTGGAATTTTATAGGGGAGAAAGGAGGTAAGTGGCCTGTATCCTTACCCCTCCCTGGACCTCTGCATAGATCCTGATGGTTGCACCAGCTGCTCAGCTGTAAACAGGCTCACATGACCAGTTTCACATGGAGCCGGGTAGTGTGGTGTTAAGAGCTGTAAAGGCTGGGCCCCAAGCAGGTGGGGCTGATGTCTTAGGGAGGAAGGTTTTAGCCCCTCCCTAGACCTTAGCTCTTAATCTGCTGTTTCCCTCTGGGGAAAGTAACTGACATATGTCTTTCTTTCACTGAAGTAGCATTGCTGTCCCAGTAGACTGGAAGGAAACTTCACTTGGGGAAGCCATAGGGCAAATAAGTGCAAAGGGTCCGAGTATTTTGTCCCTTAAGAAAATTCTAAAGAGAAATTAACCCTGAAAAACACAAGTTCCTAAATTTTGCCTAAAAGGCAGTCCTGTTCTTTTGGAACACTTTTTGTTCTTAATGTGAATTCCAGACAGAAGGAGAAAGTCTACTCTTTCGGGAACGGCACACATGGGATTTAATGCATTCGTAGTGACGAAAATCTTGTCCACACTTCCTGTAAGTATTAGGAAATTTCTTTGTCTGTAAAATACTACATTCAGGAAATTGAGTAAAGGGTAGACAGCCGGCTTTTCAATTACACACAGAGTTCATATATTTGGTGCAGAGTGGTGGCAAATTTGGCGAACAGGAAACATGGCCGAATGTGTCTTTAGAGTTATCTAATCTATAGTCTCCAACAGGATGTGAGATTAAACTGCTTTCTGAAGGATACAGAGAACTCACAAGGCAGCAGAGGTTTCCTGATGTGCCAGGATACTTGAAATTTTACAACTTTTCAAATCTGTGAAAAAAATGTGGGTTTTTTGTTTGTTTGGTTTGGTTGTTTGAGACAAGGTTTCTCTGTGTACCCCTGGCTGTCCTGGAATTCACTGGGTAGACCAGGCTGGCCTCGAACTCAGAAATCCGCCTGCCTCTGCCTCCCAAGTGCTGGGATTAAAGGCGTGCGCCACCACCGCCCAGCCGAGAAATGGTTTTGATAGATCCCCTTTATATGTAGTATAATGGGCAATATCCTATTGTAGAGTAGTAATCCCTTTATAGGGAAAACCATGTTTATTCTCAGATAGTTTATACTTTTTTCTCATAGAGGATTTACATGCAAATTCACTGTCTGAAAACATAAAACAAGAAACTACAAAACCCATCTCATTCCTTCCTTAAGCCTAATAAAGACATTTTGGGGCTGAATGTACTGGCGTAGTCCTTTAATGCCAGCACTCAGGTAGCAGAAGTAGGAAGAAGTAGAAATTCACCAATTTCTGTGAGTTCTAGGCTAGGCTGGTCTTCATAGAGAGTTCTAGGCCAGCCAGGCCTACATAGTGAGATGTCTCAAAATATTGGTACCCTCCTCCCACCTTTAAAGAAATGGTTTAAGATAAGCTGAGTAGTCTCTGGAGTTCTGCATATGTGTTCCAGGACAGCAAGAGCTATGTAACAGAGGGACTTTGTCTCAGAAGCATACATACATACATACATACATACACACATACATGCACACACAAAAGCAAAAAAAAGGTTTAAGATAGAAACTTGAGAACATTTTAATCTTTCCTAAAAGCTAGCAAAGATTATGAGTGATGTTCTAAAGACTGTCTTGTCACCCCTTAACAGTCTGGAGAATCCTTATGTCCTCGATTATCTCATCTCTATTATGAGGCATTTGTTTTAATCTCTGTGGACCTCTGTAGCTCTCAGGTTACCTAGAAATATACAGTTTGGATGGGAGTGGGGAAAGGAGTTGAGGCAGTCTTACTATGAATCCTCGGCTATCCTGGAACACATTGTGTATCCCAGGCCAGCTTCCAAAGTCTAGACAATCTGTCTGCCATAGGCTTTCAAATGTTGGGAGTCCAGGTGTGAGGTTCCATGCCTGTAAAGTGTGCAGTTTTTGACAGATAGCTATCTTTGGACAAATACATCGCCCAAGTAAAGCAAGTAAAAATGAAATAGCAAGAGATTGCTATCCAGAATCATGATAGAAATACAAGTTACATCCTGGAAGAGTCTTGTGACAAGTGGCTCTATGTGACTTGGGGGCCAGTCTAGTCTACATTGTGAGTACCAGACCAGCTGGGTTACATACTGAAACTCTGTCTCAAAACAAAAAGGATTCTTAGGAGGTAAATTAGTCATTCAGGCTGACCCTGTACCTGTCTTGCTTTTCATCAGGTAATTGAAGATGGCTCCAGCTAAATCATACCTCCAAAATTAGAAATAAGAGCTCTGCTAGGCTTTCTTGACCTTCAGGGTGTAGCCCAAAGTCTAATTCTTTCAGTTAGGTTCAAACCTCTTCCAGAATTAAGCAGGTTCTGCAATTTTAGTGACAGAATTTGGAGGGGATGGGTAACCTCACTCTGACAGCGCCTGGCTTTGATCATCTGAACCAGTCTTTGCGTCCAACTTTCTCAGGTAGGTTCACAACTTGTTTGTGTCAGCACATCCTGATACCACCAGTCTCAGAAATTGGTCCTCTCCAACTATACTAACAGAAAATATGAATATGTTAATATATCAGCCTACTAGCTAACAGTGAGAGGCAGAAAAACCAAGTATTTCAGAAGGATCATGTACAAACTAAGACCTTTGCTCTTGACTATAAAGAAACATAGAAATTGCTCTCCTTCTCCCTTTTTTCCTTGGGTCTATCGATTGACAGATTCAACAGGACGACAGCTTTTATGTAAAGTCCACTGCAGTGACACATTTGTATGACTGCACTTTAGTCACCTGATTGACCTTTGGTCACTTAAAACATCTCTTACATTTGACTCCATTCCTACCGCCTTAGCCTCTGCTTACATCATCTCCTCAAACCACAGTCAGCAGTTTTTTTTTTCTTAGTAACTATGCTAGAGTGAGGGGTTGGACTTGGAGAGTCAATGGCCACCACTCACCTTCAAACTCATCAGGTCAGTTTCTGTGCCTTAAAAATCTTTCACAGGTTTCACATTGCCTGTGGCAGTAGCTCTAGAAGTTGTTGAATCTGAGAATTACCCAGATAGCTTGCTAAAGACAGTGCCAGACCCTACTCCCACTAATATATGTCCTAATATCTCAATATCATATTCTATACTTGCTGTATGGTTTTCTTGCTAGGCCAGGGTTCTGTAGGGTGAAAATAATGTTTTGGTCTTTTCCATAGTTCCTGATATATATTATATATATGACTAAATATATGATGAATAAATTAAAAAGATTGTTATTTTGTTTGACATAGGGTCACTAGGGTTACTATATAGCCCTGGCTGACCTGGTATTAGCTACGTAGATCAGGGTAGCCTCTGATGATACAGAAATCCTCTTGCCTCTGCCTCCTGAGTAAAGATGTATTCCACCAAGACTGGAATTAAAGACTTAAAAACTCCGTGTGCTACATGTAGCAGCATACATATTTTTTATACAGTGAATTAATACAGATTTTTTTGTATATCTTGTAACTGTTTTTTGTTTGTTTGTTTGTTTTTGTTTTTTTCAAGGCAGGGTTTCTCTGTATAGCCCTGGTTGTCCTGGAACTCACTCTGTAGATCAGGCTGGCCTCGAACTCTCAGAAATCCCCCTGCCTCTGCCTCCCAAGTGCTGGGATTAAAGGCGTGTGCCACCACTGCCCGGCTTGTATATCTTGTAATAAAGACACTAGAATGTTTTAAATTGTGGAAATAATTCCTTTATTAAAATGGGGAAATAAAGATGGTTTTGTTTTACAGGGTATTTTGGTGTGTCTCTCTGTGTGTGTGTGTGTGTGTGTGTGTGTGTGTGTGTGTGTGTGTGTGTGTGTGTAATTTTCTTTTTTTGTTTTTGTTTTGAGATAGGGTCTCATGATATAGGCTTGGCTGATCTAGAAGTCACTGTGTAGACCATACTGCCCTCTGAATAATAGAAAGTTGCTTGTCTCTGTCTCCTGAGTTCTGGAATTAGAGGAGCATACATACCATCACACCCAGTAGGGGTGTGTGTGTTGTTTGTTGTTTGTTTATTTGTTTATTTTAGACAATGTCATGGGGTTGCAGGCATTGCCACCACACCCAGCCATATAGTTACAAAAAGATGTTTCTGTAAGATTTTCTTTTTTGTGTGGCACTTGATCATGTCCAGTGTTTTATGCATGCTAGGCAAATTCTCTGTCACCAAGCTACACTCACATCCCTTTTAAAGTTTTTGTTTGTTTGTTTGTTTGTTTGCTTTTTTGAGACAATGTTTCAATATAGTCCATGGAACTCACTATGTAGCACAGGTTAGCCTTGAACTCACCATTCTCCCTCAGCCTTAGTTTTGGGACTATAAGTTTATATTACTAATTTTACTTATTTTGAGACAGGATCTTACTTTGTAGCCATGGTTGGCCTGAGCAGCTACGTAGACCAGGGTACCCTTGAACCCACAGAGTTTTACTGTGCATCTCAAGTTCTGGGATTATAGGCATTATACATCATGCCCAGGTACTATTTTTATTTCAATATGGATCCTTCCTATGTCTCCCAGACTGCTCTTAAACCTGTGGTCTTCTTCTCCCAGCCTCCTAAGATGCTAGAATTATAGACCCATCCCACTGCTCCTGACTTGGGGGTTCTTTTAAAGTCATGTACTATTCAACTTTAATTTTTTGGATTTTTTGGGGGGGGGGTTTGTTTTGGTTTGGTTTTTTGAGACAAGGTTTCTCTGTATAGCCATGGCTATTCTGAAACTCACTCTGTAGACCAGGCTGGCCTCGAACTCAGAAATCCGCCTGCCTCTGCCTCCCAAGTGCTGGGATTAAAGGCATGCGCCACCACCGCCCAGCTAACTTTTATTTTTTGAATGTGGATTAGTTTATCACTCTGCATGTTTTGTAGTAGCTCCACCCAGAAGATAACAAAACCTAGAAAAGTTACCCATTCTTGAATAATGGACATTAAAATATAACATGAACATTTTGATACAATTTGTGGCCTAGGAGACCAACCATTAAGAACTCTGATAGATGACACTGGAACTCATACTTTGTTGCTGAGTTTTCAACATGGAGGAGAAAGGACTTTTATACTAGAGTCTAAAGCAGTAAAACTTACTGCTCTTACCTAATTTGCATTTTCTTGTTTTTTTAGCAAAGACTATACCCAGTGGTGGAAAACTAAGATAGCTCCTGCACTTAGATAAAAAGGGGGCCTGGACTAAAGGTGGAGCTGAGAAACAGAATCAATAGAGATACAAAGTTTTAAGTAGCTGGCCCTCTGTGGCTAAGCAGATGAGCCAGTAATTCCTGTGGAGGCTAAACTTTGAACAAGACTTAGCTGATAACAGCTTTTTTAAAAAAAAAGATTTGTGTGTTCCTGAGTATATGTATGAATATGTACAATATGTGTGCTGGTGCCAGTAGAAGCCAGAAGAGGACACCAGATCTCATGATGACTGGAATTACAGGTTGTTTTGAGACACTGCATGTGGGTGCTGAGAACCAAAATGGGGTCCTGCAAGAGCAACGATTGCTCTTCACCTGTGACTCATCTCTCTCTAGCCCCATTCTTAATTCTTTTTAAATTTTGAACCACAGTAGTTAGTATAAGGATCCAAAAGGACCTACTTATTCCCTTCTTATAGGCTCCATTTTCCAAATGGGGGAGGGGGAAGAATATACTTTACTATAGTTTCCTTGCTTGCTAAATAATAATAGTCTCGATGTTGAAGTCTATAGAAACTCCCCTGCTCATCCCAGAGTATTATGCTTTCTCTGTTCAATGCAAAGTGAGGAAAACAACAAATGATCACAACTGTGGGCAAGGAGCTTGTTTGGACCAACAGCAGATGCGGGGGTGGGGGTGGCATCCACCTGTGATCCCTGCATTCAGGAGGCAGAAGCAGGAGGACCTGTAGTTTGAACCTAGCATGGGCTGGATAACAAGCCCCTGCCTCAGACAACCAGGATAAAACATCCAGTGTTTACACTGCTTCCTGTGGGAAAGTAGTTTGTAAATTGGTCACAAGGTGGTGTGCACACGTAAGGTTTTCTTTCAAATTTTAATTAGGAATGTTCTGTACTTTAGGGAGAGGGTCAAAGACAAGGCAGTTTCCTATATCTTTTCTCATCAGGACTGCCTGCCTTTATGGTCAGGGGCATGTTGGAGCTTCATGGTTTTATAAACACTGCTGACCCGGATTGACTCAGAGGAAATGGAAGGGAAGCAGAAGGCAGAGAAAGAAGAGAGGCAGCTGGAAATGCTGATCCCATCATCCCTCCTCATCCTAGCCTATGGCCAGCAGCCACCTATCTGTATGTAGTAACCTTTAGATACTTTTATGGAAACAGCACATTCACCTATGGGGTGTACACATGCTCACTTATGGAAGAACTGATTATTAGTAGACACCTGGAGGAAAACCAATGAGCCCAGTGTCTTTCAAGTACCTGCACTAAACTTGGGTCTACAAGAGAATACACCATTGGTGCCAGGCATAGTACCACAACCTGTAATTGTAGCACCTGAGAAGGAGAGGAAGGAAGATGAGGACTTAAAGGCTATCCTGGCCTATGCGAGACACTGTGTCATAAAAAAATAGTCTGTGGACAAGGCCCTGGGTTCAATATCCAGCACAGGAAAATAAAACAATAATGCTAACAAATTTAAACTTTGGGTGAGGCTACTTGAAACATACAGCAGAATCACAGGGGTAGGGCCTTCTAATTGAGATGCTGAGGAGATAAATCCTATAACAGAATGTGAGTAGACAATATACTTCTGTCCTTAATACCCTGTGCAAGTCTGGGAAATGTCTTAACCTGGGGCTGCTTTCCTTATCTGTGAGATGCTAACACACTTTGACTTGGTGCACACTAGACTTTTAGACAACAACTTCATAAAACTGATCTGCCTTAAGGATTTTTTTTAACCAGCTTAGTATATAATCTTTCCCCTACATTTTTGCAGTTAATGATTTTGTAATACGGAGTAGGGCAAAGAGAAAGTGGTAATCTCCCAAAACCCCAGCAATCCCAGGTGAGCGCTTCTGGATGTTTGCTGGCAATGCTAATGCTAATGACCTGGTGCTAATTCTTCCCTTATCAGCCCTGGTTGGAGTTGAGGAGGCAACTTCTATCTTAGCCAAGATAAGTGATGAATTGGAAAAGGGATAATGAAAAAGCAATTAAACCCTTCTTTAATGTTGACAGGGACTTGGCCTGTTTGTGATTCATGGGGCAACAAGTACATCTTTAACTCTCAAAGAGAAAGAAAGCCTCAGGATGAAAAGGATAAAACTGTCTTCTAAGCCTTTATCTCAAGCTAATAAAATTCCTATTCTGACCTGTGCCAACTAAATTTTCCTTAAAGTTAAAACAAGCTTGGCACTTGTCTGCATGGTTATTTTTTACTTCATAGTAAGATTTGTGAGCCATCTCATATTCCTTTTTTGTTTAAGATAGTCTCATTCTGTAGTCCTCCTGTCTCAGTTTCCCTACTGGGATGGCCTTTGCCACTACACCTGGCAGCTTAAAGTGCTTGAAAAGTATGTAATTTAGTATTTGTTTGAGGTGGGATTTCATGTAACCCATGCTGGTCTGGAACTCCCTGTGTAGCTGAGGCTGGCCTTGAATGCCTGATCGTCTTGCCTTGGACTCTGAAATGCTGGGATAATGGGCATGTATCATCTCACCCCAGGGTATGGTTTATGCTTTTATCTTTCCTTTTCATACAAGGGATAGTATGTGCTTCACAAAGTGCTCCTTGCTTTTCTGGGGTTTTCTTTTTTTCTTCCTTCCTTCCTTCCTTCCTTCCTTCCTTCCTTCCTTCCTTCCTTCCTTCCCTTTCTTTTTTTTTGAACGGGGAAAAGCATGCTGGAGATTGAACCTGGGCCTACTACTAAGCTTTATCCTCAGCACTTCTTTTACCTGTTTCTTCCTCCCCAATTTCTTGTTTGTGGCTATAGTCTTAGTTGTTACCAGGGATTGAACCTGCACACATGCTAGGCAAGTGTTCTATCACTAGCCTATAGCCCAGTCAACTTTTGTTTTGATACAGAGTCTAAGTATCCAGGCAAATCTTGAATTTATCATCCTGTTCTAACTTCCTAAGTAGCTGGGATTATTGGCCTTGGCCTATGTCAGCAGCTCCAGCTTTTTCATTGGAAGGCTTTATTCTTGTCCAGCTACACAAAGAACATTCTCTATTGTTTTGATGGGTATCTTGTATCCCAATAAATGGATATACTATACTTTAATAAATCCACTATTAATGGAGAGCTGGGCTGTTTCCATTCTTTGGCTATGAACAACTGGCTTATATTGAGTACCAAGGTCTTTTTAGTAAGCTTCACAGAAATCATCTCCTTTAATGCTCAGCACTTCGTATAAAAGCTTCCACATATAAAAGTTCACACATGTAACTTCATACACAGTGGTGGTCGTGGAGAAGGGTGATGATAATGGTATATGTTCCAGAAATATTCTAAAAATAAAATCTGTGGCTCTGAGGCTATGAGCCTTTCATCCTGGCAGAATGTTAGTTGTTCCACTATATATCCCCATCAGTAATATAAGAATATGCCTGATTTCTCTCACCAGTGCTATCAAGTTATTTTGTTTATGGTTTTGTTTACTTTTTTTACTACTCCAATATCCTTTAAGATGTATCCTAGCATGACTTTAGCTTGTGTTTCTCTTGTGAGATTAAATGGCCTTTTGTAAGCTAAGTCCATTTTCTATAAAAATAATTTGCTTTTTTGTGTGTGACAAGCCCTCATGTAGTACAGGCTGGCAGGCTGGTCTCAAAATTGCTAGATACATAAGACTAAGTTTGAACTTCTGACCCTCTTGCCTCTGTTCTCCATGTGTTTAGATTACAGGGCAGCCATGTGTACTTTATGTAGCTAAATTTGTCAATATTTCTGGAATTTACTTTTATCTCATTGTTAGCCTGAGAGGATTTAAAAAATTTTTTTCTATGGTTTCTTCTGCTGTTTTGATGGCTTTTCTTTCCCGTTTTAACACTCAAAGTTTTAATCTGTTTGGAATTGGACATGGTCAATCTGGGGAGCCAATAAATAAACAATAAAGTTGTTTTCTAGATGGCTCCCCAGATTGACCAATACTTACTGATTATGTCTTATGTAAATCAGAGCTGCTACCTTTTAATCACAAACTCCTTCCCTCAGAACCAAGGTTTACAATTGAGTCAGAGCATATCACTTAATGATGTCAAATTTGGATCTTCCTAATAGCTAAATTTCTTAAGAATAAAATTATAGAGCTTCTTGTTGGTTTTTTTTTTTTTAAAATAGCAAACTTTTTTTTTTTTTTTTTTTTTTTTTTGGTTTTTTTGAGACAGGGATTCTCTGTGTAGCCCTGGCTGTACTGGAACTCACTCTATAGACCAGGCTGGCCTCGAACTCAGAAATCCGCCTGCCTCTGCCTCCCAAGTGCTGGGATTAAAGGTGTGTGCCACCACCTCCCAGCTATACCAAACTTCTAAGAGTGCTTTATTCAAATAGAAATATTTGTGACTTAGAGCAAAAGAAATGAATTCAAAGCCCTGTGTGGTGTCTTAATCCTGGAATTTCAGTACTTGGGAGGCTGATGCAGGAGAATTGCTGTGTGATTGAGAACAGATTTACCAGATTCCCTGTCAAGAAAAAGGGGGTGGTGGCAGTGGTGGCACACACTTTTAATCACAGCACTTGCGAGGCAGAGGCAAGCAGATTTCTGAGTTCGAGGCCAGCCTGGTCTACAGAGTGAGTTCCAGGACAGCTAGGACTACACGGAAAAATCCTGTCTCGAAAAAAACAAAAGAAAAGGGGGGGGGTAGCAGAGAAGAATGGATGAGGATGAAAAATAAATCAGAGAAAATATGTTAAATTAGAATAACTTAATAACTTAAGTCAGATGCTTTTCAAAAATATTCTTTCTCTTATGGAAATATTTTTGTATAGTGGAAAGAATACTGGACCAGAAGGCAGGAAACCTGATGATATTGTTTTGATGTTTGTTTGCTTGTACATTTCAGTCTGGTGTATTTATAATTAAACACCGCTACCACCAGTAATAATAGGGAACACTTAGCACTTAATATGGACCAAGTAACACTCTACCTAAGAGCTTATCAGTCACTCGGTCCATGTAATTAATGTAAGTCTGGGTAATCTGTTATGAATTATACAAACATTAGATATTGTTACTCATGAAAATGTCAACAGATCGGTCAGCTTATTGAAAACCAAACTTGGGAACAGTCTAACACTGCCATGCTCCAAAGTAATGAATAGAGAGCTGATGGATTATCTGAGGCAGCCTGAGGTTTCGGCCTTCAGATTTCCATGCCTTCGAATATGCAACACTGTTGGTCTGCATGCCTTCCTCCTAATGCTTCTGGGTACACTTTCCTGATTTTCTTTTTTTTTTTTTGAGACAGAGTCTTGTGGTAACCCAGGATAGCTCCCTCAACCTTCAAAAGCCTGAGACTTACAGGTATACAACAAAATGCCTCACCTCCAAAGTTCAATTTCTTTTCTTTTTCCTTCCTTTTCTCTTATTATTTTCGAGACAAGGTCTTACTTATGTAACCCTGCCTAGCCTAGAACTTGCTATGTAGTCCAGGCTAGCCCCAAAATCAGAGAACCATTTGCCTGTGCCCTTAGAGTGCTAAAATTAAAGGTGTGAACCAGCTTGGAGTTGAATGTCTTTGATGGCCTGTGCATGACTTCCATCTACATTTTTACATATGATGGTATTATATCCTATTTTGGTGAAAGTTCAGAAAGCCTCAGTAAGGATCAGAGCCCTGGCAGCCAATAAAACTAAATAATGGATTCATTGGTTATACTCCTTTTTAAATGTATGGGGAATTCAAGCTATGTAATGGTTTAGAGCCTATTTTAAAAGTCTGTTGTACAGAGTGCAAACTAGATATTTTCTGAGTGTGTTAGATTTTTCACTTTGTTGGGTTGGTTGGTTTTAGAGATAAAAACTTTGGTATGATGCCCAAATAACCTTCAAACTTACAAACAATCCTCTTCCCTTAGGCTCCCAACCCAAGTACCACAAGTACAAGTTTGCATTACCATGCCTAGCCCAATTTTGCATTTTGGGAGCATGGTTTCTGGGGATTGAGCCTTCAATGTTATTGTTTATTTTTGTTCTTTTTTGTAAGCATAGACTCATGTCACTAATGTTGGTCTCAAACTTTCTATGTAGCAAAGAATGATTTTGAAGTTTAATCTTCTTTCTTCTGCCTCTTGAATGCTGTGATTATAGGCATATGACTCCATGGCAGGTTTTATGCAATGCTAGGACTCGAAGCCAGTGTTTTGTCCATGCTAGGCAGCCACTCCACCAGTGGAGCCACATCCTCAGATCATGTATTGTTTTGTTACTTTTGGGAGGTTTGCTAAATAAGAGTATTGATTACAGTGAGGTTAGGAAATCAAAACAGAAACATCACGTTACAACAGGCAGACTTCTGCCAGCTACAACTACCTGGAACACATTCAAGAACCCCAGAAGGAATCCAAAAAAGCCTCTGGAGTTGGAAAAGGCCCAGCTCTCATGAGGACTCTGTAACTTGACATTTGAGTGTAGGAATGGTGCCATGTGTGCCAAAGAGCACTTAGTGATTTCAAATTTTCAAAGAAAACTCTGAGGACTTCTAAGTGAGTATCATCCTTTTAGCTCCCAGATGTCTTGATGTTTCAATAGAAAAAATAAGAACCGGCTTCCTCATATGTCCACAGAGCACTGAATAAACCAGTATTAGCATCAGTGGAAAAGTGATTCTTAAGTATTTCTATGAAAAATAATGTAATTTTTAGTTTTTAAAAGAGACTTTATTTTAGTGTGTGTGTGTGTGTGGGGGGGGATTCCTGTGAGGAGGCCAGAGAGGACATCAGATCCCTGGAGCTAAAAGTTACAGGTAGTTGTGAGTCATTTATTTAATATGGGTTGGGTTCTAGAAACTAAAAGAGCAGGAGCCACTCTCCAGACGCAAGTTTGGGTCTCAGCACCCACACAGACAACCTGTAGCTCCAGGTCCAGGAGGGAGTCTGCCCTCTGCAGACATCCTTATATAAGTGGATATACAGACACACAGGCACGCACGCGTGCGCCTGTTTGTCTCTGTTTGTCTCTGTCTCTCTCTCTACACACACACACACAATCAATCAATCTTTAGGGGCTGGAGGGATGGCTGCTCTATCTAGAAGATCCCGATTCAATTCCCAGCACCCATGGCAGCACACAACTATCTAGCCTTCTTGCCTTTGCTGGCCTGGAACTCACAAGAGATGTACCTGCTTCTACCTTCTGAATGTTGGATTCAAGTCATGTGCCACCACACCCAGACTGCTTTTACTTGTTTGTTCGTTCATTCATTCTTTTATTCTCTCTCTCTCTCCCTCTCCCTCTCCCCTCTGTGTGTGTGTGTGTGCCAGCCATGTTTTCATGCATATGTTCATGTGAGTGTGCCACAGTCAGTGTGTGGGAGTCAGGACAGCTTGCCTGGCCCATTGGTTCTTGTCTTCCACCCTGTGGGACTTGTGGATGGAATGTGGGTCATCAGACCTGGCCTGCAACCAAGCATCTGCTCCCACTGAGCTGTCTTGCTGGTCCCTAAATATGCTTTTTTGTTTGTTTGTTTTTGTGGAGTGACTATAGATTTCTGAAAATCCGTATCATGCGGTTTCTTTTTCTCATTTCTAGATTGCCAAAATGCTTTGGAGTTTTTAACTGAATCTAAGAAAGTCCAAAATAGATTTGAGATTGTAAAGACAGAAGCTACAGCAAGGGGGATTCAGTGCCAATGCATCAACAAAAAAGACAACCAGAGTTAGTGGAAGGGACTCTTCCTGTCTTTGTGTTTCCCACGGAGCTAATATTTTATGCAGATGATCAGTCAACACATAAGCAAGTGTTGACTCTGTACAACCCCTATGAGTTTGCCTTAAAGTTCAAAGGTGAGTCTCCTAGCTTATAAAGTTTTCACTTGCTCCTTCTAATTTTGATTTAATCACACTAATGGACATTGTGACTTTTTCTTTCAGTTTTGTGTACGACTCCAAATAAGTATGTTGTCGTTGATGCTGCTGGCGCGGTGAAGCCACAGTGCTGTGTGGATATGTAAGTCGGGGTGGCATCTTGGTAATGCATGCTCAGTGTGTGGCTATGTGTGCTGTAACTTTAACGTGCTCCCTTCTCAATGCTACTCCTAAGCAAGTGTTTCTATGCTTTTTGATTTGGAGCTCAAGAATAAGGCAATCAAATACTTAAAACAATTTGTACCAGGAATTTTGTTTTTTTGTTTTTTGGTTTTTCGAGACAGGGTTTCTCTATGTAGCCCTGGCTGTCCTGTAACTCACTCTGTAGACCAGGCTGGACTCCAACTCTGAAATCCCCCTGCCTCTGCCTCCCAAGTGCTGGGATTAAAGGCGTGCGCCACCACTGCCCGGCACTACCAGGATTTTTTTTAAAAAAAATAATTCTTCATTGTTCTAATATAGGCAGTAATGAGTCTGGTCAAGTTCTGGCTTATTCCTTTGCATTTCTCCAGCTATGACAGGGAATTGAGCTTTCTTTATGCCTGACAGTGGTGGCGCACGCCTTTAATCCCAGCACTTGGGAGGCAGAGGCAGATGGATTTCGGAGTTTGAGGCCAGCCTGGTCTACAGAGTGAGTTCCAGGACAGCCAGCACTACACAGAGAAACCCTGTCTCAAAAAACCAAAACCAAACAAACAAACAAAAAGACATTATGGTTCCACATGTTAAACTTCAAATTGATACCTGCTGGTGAGCTTTCCCACGAGTTGCCAGAGTACTAAATGATGTCTAGCTTTCTTTGAGACATCCTGCTAGTATAGTGATATTTGTGAAACAATTAATACTATATTATAGAACAACAACAGTGTAAGATCATCTGAAATGATTCAGCTAATGAGCCTGGGATTGAATGGAAACAGAAGCAAGTGTGTGTAACTACTCACCTGTCAAAGGTTCTCCCGGTGCTTCCAGATCATTGCATTTTAGAGTGTCGGATGAACAATTGTTTGCCCAAGCTGTTCATATTTAATTTTTACTTTAGAACTGGGGATGACCAGATGAACCCACTGGCCAGCCCTTAATTTGAGCTACTAAGTCAGCTGTATTTGTCAACGTTTTCTATAAGAAGCAGAGTTATTTTCTCCTCAGCTCAAAGCCATAAATCAGGGATTCTCAGCCTATGGGTCGCAGCCTCTTTGGCAAACCTCTATCTCTAAAAATATTTGCATTGTGATTTATAGCAATAGCAAATATCAGTTATGAAGTAACAATGATAATGTTATGGCTGGGGTCACGACAACATGAGGAACAGTCACAGCGTTAGGAAGGTTGAGGACCAGGGCCATAGATTATGTCTTTTAAGAACAGAGGCTTTTGCACATTTCTTTGGGTTGTCATTCAGTACACAGTAAGAAAGGACTATTCCGAAGGAATGCAGTCTTACCAAATAAATGTGTTACTCTTGACCTAATTGTTTTGCACTTCCTAAGGAAAATCAGGCACAATAAAGAAAGATTTCTTACTTCAATAACAAGTAACAATATGAATTTATTACATGTTTGTGAGGAAGAAACTATTTTATATGTTTCAATTTAGAAAAGAAATCTTCAACAGATATACAGGAAAAATTCACTGCTAAAGGCAAATTTGTTTATCATTCTTTTACTGTAGACTTTGATTCTGTGCCAAGACCATAACTCAGTAGTAGACTGCTTGCTGTTTAGCATGCTTGAGGCCTTGGGTTCAATGTCAGCCACACCACACAGAAGATTTTTATTGTATGTTTTGACTATATATGTACATCTAATTTCATAGTTGTTCATTTTCTTCCTTAGGCTATGAGATAATTTTTTCCCTCGGTGTCATTAGCAAATTTTGAGTATTTGGTTATAGTCAGCAAGATTATTTTTACACAATTGAAACATTTTGATACTTTCTGCTAGATAGGCCCCAGAAACCTGAACAGATTTTGTTATTATTATTGTTGCCGTTACCATTATTATTTTATTATTGTTTTGCTGTTTTCAGTGTGATTCGTCATAGAGATGTTAGATCCTGTCACTATGGTGTGATAGACAAATTCCGCCTCCAGGTTTCCGAACAAAGCCAGAGGAAGGCCTTGGGAAGGAAAGAGGTTATCGCTACTCTTCTCCCGTCTGCGAAAGAACAACAAAAGGAAGAAGAGGAGAAGAGAATAAAGGAACACTTAACAGAAAGTGTATTTTTTGAGCAGTCATGTCAACCAGGTAGTGTTGATTTTATAGCCCCTTAAAGGCTCCTTACGTTTCCAACTTTAATCACAGAGCTGCAGCCAACACCTAATACAATAATGACATTAAACCTAGTC